AAGCACTGTGTAAAGCTTCACTTGGGTATATCTGAATTGCCAGTATAAGTCAAGAACCTTCACCTTTTCACTTTAAAGGAAGTACTGTGTAAAGCTTCACTTGGGTATATCTGAATTGAGTATATCATCACACTACTCTTGTGATGCGGGGCCATTCTTAAGTAAAATAAGGGTTACTTGAATGCAAGCACTGAGATACTATGACAGATGATGTGAAAACTGATACAGCTACCAAGTGACTAACAGAGGGTAATGTATAGTGTGTGGATACACAGGACAAAGGGATGACTTATGTCTCAGACAGGGGCAGACCTGGACAGCATGAGATTTCATCACACTAAAAATGACACCCAATTTAATACACAATTTAAATGTGTATTTCTGGAATTTTTCCATGTAATATTTTTAGACTACAACTGACCACAGATAACTGAAAACGTGGAAAGCAAAACTGCGTATAAAAGGAGACTACTGTAGTTATGAAACCTCCATCATATACACACTTATTTGGATGGAATTTTTAACAAGGCTTTTCATATCACATCTCCATCTCTCAACTTTGCACTAATCAATGTCATCTACTGACCCCCAACACCATTACCTATAAAACTACTTTCTGTGACAGGCGTTTTATTTCCCAACCATTCTTTTAACTCTTACTCAGCTGGAGCTCTATGTCAGCATCTACATAGCAAATACTATGAAGGTTTATGTTGGCAAGGCTTATCTTCAAGATGAAATTTAGTACCAAGCAGAAAGAATGGTGTACCACCCCAGGAGCATCAGCCACAATATCTGAACTTTCTATAAAATTTTTAGTAACAAGTAAGCAGCAAGTAAGCTTTAGTTATTGATACGTGCCAATTAATATTTGAAAAACAGATACCCAGGATCTGGAAGAACTGAACAAAATTATGTTCAAATCCTCTTGAAGTATAAGTATTCTTAAAATAGATCTTATAGTCTTGAGCACTGACCTGTAATAAAAGTAATGGTAAAAAGTAAAAGGGTGCCCAGCTGCATTATTACAAAACCTGAGGTGTTGGGATGGAGGAGTCATTTGCTGCAGTGGAATCAATATTATAGCTCATGACACCTCTCTATAGGCTCAGTTGACCTGAAATAAGACCATTTCATATACTAACGGCTTTTTTCAGTGATCTACTTGACCTTTGCCTGTGGTGCAGCAATAAAGTGTTAAGATGACATATTTTAGCAGAACAAAACCCAAAGAATTTAAGTTTAAGGGAGCTTAAACCCAACAATGCAGTAGCTATGAACATTTAATTAATCAAAGTCTGTCTCTTCCTGCAGGGGTTCTATGTCCTGGCTACACATTAGAATCACCTGGATGATTTAACAAACTCCTGTCCACAAGGCCCTGCCTCAGACCAATTAAATCAGAATTCCGCCAGGAAGGGACTCAGCCATGAGTATTTTCAAAATGTTCTCCAGGTGATTCTAATGTAAGAACCACTGTGTGAAGATACTAATGACACATATTTATGAACAAGTGTTGGCAGATTTTGGCAAATAAGAACTATAGGACACCAGTTAAAACTGAATTTCACATAAAGAATTTTTAAATATAAGTACGTCCCTTGCAATATATAAGACATACTTAAAAAATTATTTGCTGTTTATCTGAAATTCAAATTTAAATGGGTGGGTGTCCTATATTCAGTACACAGTACAAAACTGAAAATTTAACAGGAGTGGTGGAAATAAAGCTCTATCAGCAGAGAATATCACTGGTTGGTAGGTTCTTACCTGAACATACACAAACACACACACACAATCACCTGGAACATTAAATAGAAAAGTTGTGCCAGGCCAAAGCTATCACAAAGGAAACAGTTCTCAAGTCATGGAGGAGGAAGTGGACGGAGGGCCACAAGGGTGTCTCAGGCAGGCTTCCTTAGTGCCAGTGTTAGCTGGCTAGGGCCACCATAACAAAGCACCACAGACTGGGTGTCTTAACAGAAATTTATCTTCTCAGTTCTGGAGGCCAAAAGTCCAAGATCAAGGTGGTGGCAGGTTTGGTTTCTCCTGAGGCCTCTCTGGCTTTCGACATTCTCCTGTGTCCTCACATTTTTTTAAATTTTTTTTTTTTTGCCTGTGTTCATGTATCCCTAGGGTCTCTGTCCAAATTTCCTCTTATGACGCCAGTCACTGAATTAGGCCTCATCCATATAACTTCATTTTACTTTAATTACCACTAGACAGGTCCTATCACCAAGTACAGTCACATTCTGAGGTACTTCAACAAATGAATTTGGGGGGACACAATTTAACAGTACCGCTCACTGGACTGCAGTCTTGGGAGGCTGTGGGGTAGCTTGTGGATCAAGCATTATTGCTTTATATCCTCTTCCCAGTGCCACCCTAGTGCAGGAGAGAAACTACCTGAGTCCAGGAAAGAGAAAAGGGACATTTCTGAGGGAAGTGATAGAAATGAGGGTCATGAGGGCAGAAGAGTCCACTCTTTTCCAGGAAGAAAGCGAGGAAAGGGGGAAGAGATGTCATCAGATGGGGGAATGATAGAAGAAGGGAAGGAGAACATGTTAAGCCAAGAGGAGAGACCACATGCAGAACAAAGGAATATGAAGATATTATCCACTACTCCAAAGGTTAAGGACCCTAGGAAAAGGAGTAGGTAGGATAAAAGAAACAAATCATAATTTCTATAGCAAAAAGGAGAACCACAGAAACTACCCCCCTCCCCTCCCCTCCGCGAATGATAGAAGAAGGGAAGGAGAACATGTTAAGCCAAGAGGAGAGACCACATGCAGAACAAAGGAATATGAAGATATTATCCACTACTCCAAAGGTTAAGGACCCTAGGAAAAGGAGTAGGTAGGATAAAAGAAACAAATCATAATTTCTATAGCAAAAAGGAGAACCACAGAAACTACCCCCCTCCCCTCTGCACCAAAAAACAAACAAACAAACAAATAAACAAAAGACCAGGCTTCTACCATTTTATTTGTTCCTTTTAGGAAAGGAAACAAAAAAAATCTGCCTCAAGCATTTTTAAGACTATGCACAGGACTCAGAGAGGAGACTGCCAGTCTTCATTTTATTGAAATCTCAGTCTTGGTCAGCCTTCAGGAGCACATTTCACTGTCTCCAAGCAGCTGACCTGAGTTTTAGTGCACTTGGGCATGAATATGCATGATTAGGAGCCAAGATGTGCCCAGGCTGCACAGGCCTGTTCTAGTTTTAGGCGATGCCAATGGAAAGAAGAGCCCAGAAGTTTCCCTTCCAGGTTCCTTACTACAGTCTTATCTCCACAGGGCAAAGGAGGCTCTGGTGGGCAGAAAGGGGTCTAGAGAAGGGTGAAATCTTTACTCAGGGTTTTAGATGAATATTAAAGCACCTGTTGGACGTTTATAAAGAGCATGATCTATGAGAGCTGGAAACCAGCTAACACTGCAAGGGGAAACCAGCCATAAAGCCACTATACTTTTCCAGGGCGGTCCAAAGGCCGCTCTTGGCCTCTGCTGTGCGGTGCCCTGGCTTCCGTGCTGCCTTTGTCCCCCTGCGCCCACCGCGCGCTCTCGGTGTAGCGAGGTGGCCAGCGCCTGCCGCTCGCCCGTCGCTCACACGCCACCAAGCGTTCCCCGCAGCCACTCGATGCCATTCTGACATGAGTGAAAGGCACCTTAATAAGAGTGTAAATAAAATCCAGGCTGAGAAATGAGTTTTCCATGCCAGCAATCACCGGCCTAACCTCAGCTGTAAATTGTCTCATGGAGCGGCGCAGATGGAGTCCCTGCATCTGGGGATCAAAGCCATCTCTGAACAGAGCCCTAACAAACACCTGGGTGCCGCCCAGATGCTAATTCGAGGGGGAGGCTGTGCGCGTCAGTTTAGGGATTCTGTGACAATTGATAACCCGGGACCTGGCGATCCCGCCTCCCCTCTCCAACGAGGAACCTGTCCCCTCCCCTACTGCAGCGACCCGCCCAGGGGAGGAGTGGGCCGCTGAAATAATCTTAGTCTGCAGTGTCCTCCGGAGGGAGGGACCACCAAGCCCTCTAATTTATGGTCATTGGTATAATAACTTTAACATGATTTATCTGACTGTAGAGGAGCTGGCAAATGCTTGGAGAATGATTGGCCATGCCGGCTTTGTGCATTTCTGATTGGCCTTATTAATTTTGAGCAGAGTCGGGGAGCAGCCTCTTGACTGAGACAGGGAAGTTAATTTGGCAAAGCCTCCATGTAGAGTTGGTTTGGGGCCGGCAAAGGTTTAGCTTTTGTCAAAACTGCAGGAATAATGTATTGCTTAAAAAGTCATGGAGTTTGACAGAATGTGCTAGCATACTGATTAAAGCAGATTTAGTTTGAAAGAGAGTGGAAGATCATTGGATTTGACTGATTCTTTTTTTATTTTGTGTTTGTACAGACCAAAGACATCAGTGCCTTGGGGTGGGAGGGAGGGCAGGAAGGGTATATTCTTTTGTTTTTAATATTTGAGTACATAAGTGTTTTGAAAAAAACACTTATAGCTTAGAAGGGAAGGGATTTGGGGGAATCATGGGACAAATACGTATCAAAACATGCTTCTGAAAATATCATACAGTTCACAATCTTTTGTGTGGGGAAAAATATTTCTTCTCTTTTAAGTTTTCTTCAGACATCACAGCTAGTATTTATGGGATATATAAATTACTGGATAAGCACACCAATACAGCACACTTCACAAGGACATTACTCTGCATTACTGTAGTAACTGTCATTTAAATGTCACCATTGAGTGATGCGGCTTAGTCTCATGAATAAAAGGGACTATATAAGAATATTGGAAAAGTTATAATATTTACTGAAAAATATTTTCATATGAATGAATTACAAATTCAGTAGGGGTGGATATGCAATTCAAATGGTACACCCATTCATTTATTATATTTATTAGTATGTGTAGAACTCAAATGTAGACACACAGCACTAGGCAACCTCCAAATACAATCTTTAACACTCTGTTTGTTCCTCAGGAGGACCAGAACAAAGACAGAGCCACCACAAGAGAATGTGACTGCTTGGTGTGGAGGCAGATTGGTGTCACATGCGATGGTACAATCACTTCTTTTATTTATAGGTCTAACCAGAAAAATAGACTGGGAGCAGCTGAGCACCAATTTATTTTGTGGCCTGAACCGATGAGTAGTTGCCTTAAATGTCATTGAGTTGAAAGGTTGTGCATTTCATTCACTGCTAAGTTACAAGAAGCTTTGAAGTAAGTCTAGGAGACCAGTAATTGTCCTGGCACTCAAGGTGGGCAAGTGCAATCCTGCTAGGTAGAATTCAGTGGAGGATGAGGGCTGCCTAACTGACTAATCCTAGCAAATGCTGCCTGAGTAGAAACAAAGGTGGTTCATTTAGTCCTATTACAAAAGCAAAATGGAACAGAAGGTATGGTTTACTTCCCAGAACAACAAAAATAGAATTGGAAGTCAACAACAGAGGAGACTTGCTTGGGTCTCAAGCCACAGCACATGCATATGACACACAGGTCCTCTGTCCAGGTCCCTAAATGTGCATGAAATAAGTAATAAAGGTATAAAGGGAGTGCAGTGGAGAATCACTTAAATGAGTCTGTAAGGGTCAGGGAAGGGTTTCCAAATGTGCTGACCACTGCACTGGGTCATGAAGGATGAAGAAGAGTCAAGAGAGAGTGAAGGTCATGCTAGCCATGGTGACTCACACAGCATAAAAGAGACATCAAGTTTATGAAGCAAAGACATCAGGTTTAGTGCCTGATGAGGATCCTAGGTGTAAGAGTTCAAGCTGCATCTCACCTCTTAGTGAAACTAAATGTTTACTAGGTGCCAGAAATTTCACTCCCTATTAGCAGTCAAGTGTCTCCTAATTTTCTAAAGACCGTAACGGAAAACTGTATGTTTCTTTAAGCACATCTAGTAATGACTACATAGGCAAGCCAAAATCACAGAAGAAAACTAAACTCAGAAATCCTAGTATAACTTTTTAGCTTAAAATAATCTTACTTCACTAATATGACACAGAAACAAATTCAAAGTGCTATCTCTCTAGCTTTCCAGCTGAACCACAGTGTGATTTTCTCT